CAAGGCTCAGCACCAGCAAAACCTCCAATATAGTTCATGATCCTGGAATAAGTCTTACATCTGAAAAAGCTAAACCATTACAAAAAGTAGATTGTGTCTTCAGTAAAACTTAAGAACTGTAAATAAGGAACAAATTTCAGACACTGTTATGGCATTAATACTGTTGGTGTTCTGAAGCGTGGTGATACTATTGTGGTTCTCTTGATGAAGATCTATTCTTGGGAAGTACCTGCTGATACAACCAGTGGGGAGATATGGGGATGACTGCAACTTTAATGCTAAATAGTTCAGCAAAAATAAGGTTCATTTAGGATAGTACATGTATATGGCAAAACATTAACAAAGGTTGATTCCAGGGGGAAGGTAGACAGGTGTGCATCAACTCCCCGTGTGCTTGAAAGCATTTGGAATACGCAAACTAAGGAGGCTGAGACAGGAGGATTAAAAATGTGGGGCCATCCTGGGCCACATTGTAAAACTTTGTTTCAAAAACAGTGGAAAGAAAGGTGGGGAGATGGAAAACAATGCTCAGAATCACTTGTGTTCCCCAATTTCTCTCCACTCCTCCCATCTTCTAGCCCGGATGAAGAAGAGAGACGCTGGCCTTTTAAGCAGTTTTGGTTGAGATAAAAACTCATGCACCACACAGTCCATCTGTGTTGTTGTGTGTACCAGTTCAATGGGCTGTGGTATATTTGCAGCATTGTGTACCCATTACCAAAGTCCGTTTTATGGATTTTTCTTTCCTTTTTTTTTTCTTTTTGTCTCCACCACTATTCCCCATGCCCTTCAGTCTCTTCTCCAAATCCAGCTCACTACTAACCTAGCTCCACCTCTGAATGCACTCGATTTTTCCTTTTTGAAGACGTGGCACATGTCGCTAACTCTTTCACCAGACAACCCGTGTTGTGCTGCATTTTCCCCCTGTTTCTCTGCAGGAAGTAAGTGGGAGCTGGAAGCCTGCTTGGCCTCTGGAGCCTAGGAGCCTCCAAAGAAGACTCCTGCCTTCTGCTTTCTGACTCTGCTAAGAGATGTGTGGGAGCAAAAGAAGCAGGTGTGCCCTCGAAGAAAGTGCTTCTGGCTTCCATGTTGGAAGAGCACAGCCTAAGCTTTTGCTACCTAAGGGCCCTTCCAGGGTTGTCTTCAACTTAGTCTCCAGTTGAGCATTCTCGACATTTGTAGGTACATCACTTTCTGACTCCCGTTGTGTGTGCATACTGGCCTGGTCTGTCTGTCTCAGATCTCACCTCCACAAAAAGCCTCTCTGGACAGTATTCATGATGCTCACACAAGGAATGCTTCCTTGACGAGACTGACAGTGTATCGACCCAATTGCCTGGGAAATTCTCAGTGAGAGAACTGTGGTATAACTATTGGACTGGCTGGTTTGTTCTGTGGGTTTTGTTTCTTTTTGAGACAGAGTCTTGCCATGTGGCCCAGGGTGGACTTGAAGAAGTTGGAATTGCAAGCATACACCACCCTTCTTAGAGGCACAGTTGTCTTTTTTTTTTTTTCTTTACATCCAAAGGTATTGGATGTATTTTGGTTCAGTTCAAAACACACAATATTTTGGTTCAGTTCAAAACACACAATATTTGGCTCAGTTCAAAACACAGTGGAGTACTTTATTCAGGTGACTCTTTTTGTAAATTCTGAGAACTGTTTCCTCCTAGAGAAAAACCATATGAGGCCTCAGAGCTAATGATACTTTGGGAAACTTTGTGGAGAAAGACTTCCAGCATGAAAATTCTGTAAAGTTCAAGTCCTTGGATCAGACAAGAACATTTCCAGAATAATAACAGCATTAAAAAGTTTGTGACTTGGCACACACCTTTAATCACAGCAATCGGGAGGCAGAGGCAGGTAGATCTCTGAGTTCCAGGACAACCAGAGCTACACAAAGAAATGCTGTCTCAAAAAACAAACAAAAAAACAACAATAAAGTTTGGGACTTAGAATCTGGTGACTCCTGTGTAGGTCTGAGGTGCTTGATGAGGCCAGGTTTTGCAATGGGTTTCTGAAGAAACACAGAGAACCCTTGGGAGGATGCAGCTAAGCAGATGCATTTCATCTGCAGCTTACCCTCACTGCATTCTCTTTATAGTGAATTTGTATTAACAATTACTTGGGTGAAGCTTCCATACATTTGCTATTTCTAAAGCAACAGGGGATGCGGACAATGGGGATGAGATGGGGCCTGACTGGTGACTCTGTGCTTTCTGTCTTTCAGCCTGACTTCACCGAGCCCAACAAATACTGACCTTCCCATGTACATCTTAGAACAGCCTCACAGCTGTCTGGGACACCAGCAGGAGAAACCCACAAGGGTCTTATCACAGCAGACATCCATCCCCATGAGGCAACCAACGGAAAGGCCTGCCATCAACTCCCCTGTCTAGTGTTGGACGTGCAGCAGAAAGTTCACCCAAAGAAACAATTCATCACAAACTCCAGAGTCTATATGCTTGAAGGTGATCTAAAACCAAAGATTCCATATTTCAGTTTTTAAACATAAGTAATGACTCAAAATCCAAGAAAATTGATTATATCTCAGCGATACAGTGCTGGCCTAGCTTGCATAAGACCTGGGTTCAACCCTCAAAAATGATTTTTTAAAATTAAGCACAGTAGTGGTTTTCTAACAGCAACCACCTCTGAAGTCCTGGGGGTAGATTTAGATTCTCTACAGTAGCTAGAGATTTCTGGATACTCATGCTAAGGCCCAAGAGTGCTAAGCCAGAGGGGTGTTGTCCATGTTCTGCTCCAGGTGGGTTTTCTAGCTCCCTTGTGACCTGTTGAATGGGTTCTCCCCCATGCCCCACACACCCATATTCATTCTCTCTTTCACTCCCACCCCCTTCAATAACATCATTTTCCACCCTTAACAGCCACCTAAGGACAGTTATCCAGGGAACACAATGCCGGGGTAACTTGTAATAGTGAAGTCGGATGCTTATGTTTTTCCCTGCAGTAGGGTAACATTTCTCATCTCTTATTTTCTGTGGCCAGAAGGAAGATGCCATTCAGGGAACCCCAGGTGTTTTGAAGATGAAAAGGAAGGTAGGAGGCCTAGCTCAGTGCTTATTAACCACAGAGAGAGCTGGGTTCACTTCAAGAAAGAATCAAATAATGGCCAGGGAGAGACAATGACTCTTAATGAATTCATGTGAGGTGACCAGTTTGGGGACATGCAGTCTGCAGACTGCCTTCTGAAGCAAGGAGAAAAGCAAGACAATTGTTTTCTATTAAAGCACAATACACCCTTGCCTTTCCTGAAGCACACGGGATTGGCTGGGTTTCCCATCCCCAGCGGGCTGCCAGCTTGGCTTCTCTATGAGGGCCTTGGCGGCCTTTACTTTAAATGCAGCCTGGACTTGAGACACTGGAGTCCATGAGAAAGGAGTAATCTCAGTGTTCCCTCCAGGTGAGCTTCAGCTTGACTGCCCTGACTCCCCGCCCCCCACACTCCCCGAGTCAACCTCTCTGTCGGGGATCAGAGACCCTTCACTCTTATTCCACCTAGATGGGAGTGAGTAAGCTGTAAGCTCAGCTTTCAAATAGCAGCTTTCGTGGGTCAGACTTAAGTGTCATGGAAAAGAAAACAGCCTCCCAGACTTGAGAGATGGGGGCGGGGAGGGGGGCAAGAACAAGGAAACAGAAGGGGGAGTCAAAGTGGGGGGTGGTGAGATTGACTAATCCTGGGCAGGTGGCACCTTGGCACAGATACCCTGAAATCACTTTCTTCCTGGGCTGCAGAGAGCTGAATACCTTTCCCAGAAAGACTTCAACTCTTCAATCTGGGCTGGGGAGTGCACCAGGGGAGGAGCCTGGAGCGGAGGGCCAGAGGTCTGTGACCTCCTACCAAGTGCTATCTGCCTTGGACCCGCGTATCTAGTGTAAACGCGGTTTCACACATAAATAACGTGCCACATCTGGCCCTTTGGTTTTATGGCGTCTTAGCGACCAAGCAATTTATAGATGGCGACCTTGTTAACCAGCAGCCAGGGCTGGCCAGGAGCTTCACCACGCCAGGCACTGATGGGCACAGAGGAGGGGCGAGTGCAAGGAGAAACTGTGGGCCGGAGTCTCCAGCTCAGAAGGACGCTGCCACCGAAGAATCCCACCTCGGATTGGGGGGAAAGGGGCCACCGCAGGGTGGAAGGTGGAAGCCCCCTCCCTCCCAGGCCGGCCATGTGGCAGCTGAAAGAGCCATCGAAGCCCAAGTGTGTTTGCGCTCATACCCAATTTATTACCGCTGAACATATGGCCAATATTTTGACTCACGTCAGTCGGGCTAGGAAAACAAACAGAGCGCTGCGCGGGGGAGCGGCCCCTTCGCTGAGGTTGCGGCGGCCGCGGGCCCGGAGCGGGCGGGTGAGCGCGGCTGGAGCCCTAGCCCAGAGCCGGGAGGAGGGCGCTCGCCACAGCCGGCGATTCCAGGCTCCCCAGCGACAGGCCGGGAGTCCCCGGGGCCGGGATCCGCACGCTAGCCGAGTCTGGACCGCGCCTCCGCCGCGCCCCAGGTGAGCCCCCCGCTCGCTCGTGTCCCGCATGCATGCTCGGGGGGCGCTGGGAGTCGCGGTCTAGCGGCGACTGGGCGACAGACGAGGCCTGGCGCCCCCTCCCACTGCTAGAATCGACTGTCTGTTCTTCCTGCGCTGACTGGTGCTGGAGTCTCTGCTACCGCCCGGGACGCGACCACATCCCGGGCAGGGACCTCGCTGAGCCTCTGGGACCAAGCTGGTCTGTGTTCGGGTTGGGGTTCCCCTCACAACCCGGCGACCCACCCCTCCATCTCTGGACTCGCGGCGTGGCTCTGTCCCAGAGTCACGAAGTCAGGAAGCAGCAGGTGGGCAGACCCAGGCATCTTAAGTCCTCCTAGGACTTGGCTGATCACTCGGGGGAAGGAGGCTTTCGAGAAGGGCCAGCCTCCTCCTCCTCCTCCTCCTCCTCCTCCTCCTCCTCCTCCT